ATATATTTAGCGTGGTAAATCGACCATATTCTTCCCCTAACAATTCCTTACAACGGGTTCAAATTCTCAACGGTTCCTCATCACACAGCTCGTGACGCTTTCACAATCGTTTGGTCTTTTTCTCGAGACGTGAGCCTGGGACACCTGTGGTTTTTCATTTTTCCGACTTCCCAGCCGTCATGCGAGTTACACGCACCGCGAAGTAAACAAGCAAGGTGAGAGAGTAGGCAAAAGAACGACTGAACGAGATCTGTTGAAAAGGAAATCAAAATTACCGCATGGTCCATGACATGGCTTTGTAAGGCGAAGTCATCTGTAAAGTTGTCAAATACGCTTGTCAAGTTTGTTACGCCCGCTATGCCTCAATGCAACCTGTGCCTCCCCGAACTTGTATAAGTTACTTTTAGTGACTGGTACACAAGAAAGCAATGGTCATAATAGCACCGCGGGAAAAGTACTGGGCCGTTAGAAAGAACACATCTTTGCAGACACAGCGATACAGTCACTGCCCTCTATCGCACAGAGTGTCTGTGAACCTGATGAAGGCTATCATTAAAGGGAAATGTATTCCATGAAAGAGCGTTTTCCGGGAACGACTAACAGTATGTATGCGTTGCTTATCCTCAACAACGGCTAAACCAACAGTTGGTGGCTTGCGACCTAGAGCAGGAGCAAACTCTGGTGAATGAAGCTGAAGGTAAATTTCAAGTTTTTATCTGTTAATCATGGTTAGTTGCTTCGCATGTAAGGCAAATATTTTCGCAACGTTTTGAAAATTAAAATGGAAAACCGCGTGGGGGTGTACTTATCTCCCTACGATGTGGCCACTTTAAAATGATTTGGGTTTGACTTCGAGGTCACAAAGATGAAAATTTGCTCTCGCTTGACCACAGATGGCACTCAACCAGTGAAAATGAATGCAACTTTATATCCAATGTTACAACCCTCCGCCTATCGTACTATGGCAGCTTTCCTCGACCCGCACCTCATTTGTCTATTGACTTGTTGAAAATGTGGTGGCTGGGTGAAAAAGAATCACGCAAAATGGGTATCTCATTGTAATCATAATTAATGATTCACATTTGAGGGTGTTAAATCAGTTTGAAGTCTGAGATGTTCATTCTTTTTCCCAGAAATACGATGACAGTTGGTAAAAAAATACTTGACGTCTTTAAGTGGTATTATTTAAAACTATAAAATAAACTCCTAAATAGTGGACTGTAGATAGGGGAATGTAGATTTGTAGAATCAGCAAATCAGGATAGTATATTCACACCAAAGAGCAGCCTAATAACATGCTTCATATAAAAGAAATCTAGAAAAGAAATCTTTCATATTTTGTTGGTTACAATACAACAGCAATAGATGGATTGCATGAACTTCAGCTTAATACCTTATAGTTCTTATAGCTTGGAAGAATTAAAAAATAGATGATTTCCAGATAGTTTTTAATTTTTTTTGTTCATAGTCTGTCTGTGTCATAATTGAATACCCCTCCCAACTGGCTGAGCTTGTTGTAGAGCTGTATCTGATTGTTGTTATCCAGATATATCTGTTCAAATATTGAAATATGTTGGCTGTTCTGTTCTGCCTAGACTTTGAAATTCTGTAAACTTCAAACAGGTAACGAGGGACCAAGGAGGACGGTGAATAATGACATGTACCTGATTGATCTGTTGACTGCTGCATAGTTATCACATATAGTGTATAGGGCAATAATGCTTTTTCTATGTTGGCCAATTTATAAAATGGCTAGTGTTGAGCAAAATATAGATGATACTTCTCTTATTATACCTGTTATGTTCTTCAGATGGTGTTTGTTGTGGGAAAGTGCCCAGGACTTAGCACATGAAGATTATTATTCAAAAAAATATATATATACAATATATGAATTTAAAAATCTGGGATGATCTATTATTTTCCTTGCAAAACCATAAAATATTGCAAGAAGTACTGAAACTCAATTGCCTTCTATTGATTTCTATTCTTTCTATTCTATTCTCCTATTGATGAATCAATTGAAACATTGAAATAGATGAATTTAATGGTTCTTTTGCTCAAATATGACATTTTCTTTTTATTGAAGTTTTTACTACAGTGTAATTCTAAATGTGTACTGATAATGCAGTGTCATGTTTTGTGAACATGGTCACACACTCCCCTGCTTAGCACTTCTCTATAACATGTGTGCTTGGTTAATAATTAATTGTCATAAATATATTTTCCATACAATCTTAATAGAGTCAATATCACTGAGTAGATAGAGAGTTCATGGACTTAAATGGTTGTGAGACTAATAACTGCAGTTTTAGGCTGCTTGAACTTGTTCCTGTGTTTCCAGCTGTCTTCCTCTTTTTTCTTCTTGGTGGTAGGTAGATTTATGGAAGTGGATCTTGTGCAGTAGGTACTTGGCCTGCAACATCTCATACATTACTTTCTGACTCCACTGGAAATACTGGATCTGTATCACTTCAGTCAGCATGGGCAGTCCTCTGTGCAAACTGGTTTGAGGTACAGGCTCTGGCTCATCTGGAGTTACTGGGTTGGCTTCATGCACTCTCTTGGTAGAACTAGGACAGATTTTTCATCTTAGTCATCTTTGTCAGCTGCAATACTAAGATGTTAAGAGCCAGGTTTACTCTCAGGGTTGTGTCTGGGGTAGGTTACTCCTCTGAACCTTCTTTGTCCGTCATTCATGGGTTCTACATTGTAAACTGAGCTTTGATAGTCTGTTTTGTTACTAATCACCTTGCACACATGTAAACTTACTGCTAACCAGCTTGCCAACAACATTAGTCAACTTGTGGCCACTTCAGATCAACTTGTTGATAACTTCAGTCAATTCACTGTCACTTATTTTTGTTATTTGATTTGTTATGCTTAAAGCACTGTTTATGTCCCCTTTCAGAACAAGGTCAAAATTGGGGCCTTTCATAGAAAATGTTAACAATTTTAAATGAAACCTTGCCAATCAACATGACATTCAATTTGTTAATTGTTTGAAATGTTCAAATTATTAGAATAACACACTGCAATAAAATGAGGAGAAAAAGATAACTATAATAAAAAAGGAAACAGTCTCCAAAAGATAGTTCTTTCTTGGTAGTTATTTTCTTTTGGTTTGTTTTGTTGTGATTATTCTTCTAAAGGAAAGTACATACAGGTATTGAAATTTGTTGTATACTATAACATAGTGTTTTAAAGTGTGTTACAACTTAATGGTGCTTATTGTAACTTAAGATAGCGTATCATTAAAAGGGAAAAAATCAATTCTCTAAGTAATGTTTTGTTAGAACTGTTGTCAGGTTAATGGTGTAAGTAATATTACGGTACAAACATTGAAAACGTAAATGATATAAGAAAAAAAAACAAAAACAAATAAACAGCAATGAATACTTTAGACAAGAAGAGAAATGTATTATCAACTAAAACATTTGACACCAGCCATGAGTTGG